AGTGCTGTTAGGAACAATAGATGTATACGTATCTCTTGGAGAGCCTGTTTTCAATTATTTGGGGCATATACCCAGAAGTGGAATTTAATGAGATTTTCTTAAAAGTATTTAACAGATGAATTCACCTGCAGCAGTAGAGGTGGAATTAGGTGGACACTCTGTGGAGTAGTTGAACTGAATAGTCTCAGGCCAGATTTTCTTTACCAGCCTCCCAGAGGTTTAGCAATTTCATTCCTGCCCCCTGAGTGTTTCCTTTGCGCAGAGACAGGAGGAGGCTTAGTAGGCTTATGAACCAGCTGCTCCCATCTGCATTAATTCAGCACATTTCTATAGCTCCCCAAAGGAGGAGACGCTGCAGCAGCATTTAATTAGTGGCCGGGAACATGCTTTCCCAAGGACACGACTTATTTCTCAGCCAGCTGCTGCCTGTTGCTCCCTAGCAACATGAAGTACTCACATCTGATTGCTCTAAAGCCTTTTCTCTGCAGATGAGGGGGTGGCCAGTTTACCTGCTGTCATAGCCGGGGGTGGAGGTGGCGGTGTCCTTGGGTCTGGGGCTAATTCTTCAGAAAAGAATGGTCTGAACGTGTTATTCCTGCCAGCGGTGGAACTAAACCTCTTGATCCTTGAACTGGTGTTTCAGATGCTCCACCACTCCTCTCTTTCAGGTTCATGATTAGAGCAGACAGAATGTGGCACAAACAGAGCAACATAGTCTAGAAAAGTCCACTTGGATTTTAAAGTACAGCTGAGAGACTTTGAGGAAGAGGGAACGATCTCACCCCCAATTGGGAGGCCTGCCTTTCAGGATGGACTAGGGGAGGGAGGTATTGGAGGCCCTGGCACCACACCACTGTGTGCGAGAGGAGCAAGGAGAGCTTCCGCCTCATCCTAGGTGGCTGGCTAACTGCTCCTGGATTCTAGGGCCCTTGGGAAAAGAGAGTGGGGTGGCAGATATCCGAAGGAGCCACCACTATGAGTCTGAACTTGCCTTCCTCACCAGGCTTGAGAGATGGCTGCTCAGAGACTAGACTTGAGACCAGGCTGGTTCCTCCCCAGTGCTTCTGCAGATGTTGCAAACTAGAATATCCTGCTTTTTCATGTTGCTGTCAGGAGGCCCAACTGTCCCACGTACCAGTAACCAGGCCCCCTTTAGACTGAGCGTGTGTGCTCTCCGGCTTGCACAATCCCCCCATCACCCCTTCAGCCCTGTTTGAGCGTGAGACTCCTGTGTTCTCTAGCCACCACAGTGACCATGGCTGTGTCTGCAGGGGCCACCTCATCTTTACCCATTCATTCATTCCACAACATTTATTGGGTATCTTTTGAGTATCTGACCCTGAGCTAGGCACTGGGCTAAGAAGATCAATACAGTGTGGTCTTTGGACTCCCTGAGCTCATGGACCAGGTTCAGAGACAGACAAGTAAATGGGCTGGGGGATTCACTGAAATCAGGTGACCAAGAGGTGCACAAGGGTTGGGATAGCACAGGGACCTTGGGTATGTGACCTAGACTGGGGGGCTGGGGAAGTCTTCTGGCAAAGATGTCACCTGAGTTTAAAATTCCGAAGGATGAGAGGAGTTAACTTGATGACAAAAGGGGAGAGGTGGAGGAATGGAAGAGAAGGGTCCAGCCAGAGGCAGTGAGGTACAGACGCACGGGGGCACCAGAGAGTTTGGCATGTTTGGGGGCCAGCAAACAAGAGCTTGCCTAAAGCTGAGTGGCCAGGATGGGGAGCAGATCATGAAGAGCCTTGTCAGCCTGCTGAGCGTTAGCCTTTAGAGAGCCCTTGAAGAGTTTAATTGGTGAAGCCACTTGTCAGATTTGTGTTTTCAGATTACCCTGGCTACAGAATGGATTTGATGCAGGAAGCAGGGAAGTCTAGAAAAGAGGCCTTTGCAGTCACATAGGAAAGAAATCATCTCTGCATAGGAGACTCCTGAACCCCTCCCTCCTGCCCTGTAGGAGATCTGATGAAAGGGAGGAGCAGACTTTCAGAGGTACAGAAACTGCCCTAGGTTTGGCCCCTGCTGTTTGTATTCAGCCCGCACTCTTACTGCTTCCTCTGCCCACTTTGTTCCTGCTTCTCCCACCCTGACTAGCTTCTTATAATGGCAGGTGGACTTGATAATATCAGCGGAGACTTGGCACAGTGCTGGCACTGTCAGTGCCCAGCTAGGGACAGCTACTGTGGAACAACCTGGCTGGCACAGATCTGATCTCAGCTTCTGTCCAAGCTGCTGCCTCTCAGACAGAGCTCTCAGTATGCTGGACACTATCTCATGTGGCCTGTCCCAGCCCAGGGCAGCATCCCCTCTATACCTGACCAGGCCTCAGTGCCCTGTGGCCCAGGGAGGATGTTGAGGACTGCTGGTGGGTTGGCAGTGGCCAAGAGATGGGGAGGATGGGATGGATGGGCATGATGTGGAGGAGTGTGCAGTTGCACATGGGTGAACGAGGGAAGGACAGAGTCAGGGGTGAGGCAGCAAGTGGGGGAAGATGGTGCCCAGCCAAGACTGGGGAGCCACGAAGAGGCCGGTTGGGAAGGGAAGACGCTGGGCATGGCTGGTGGTGCTTGTGAGAAGATCACCAGCGGGGACATGCACAGGAGAGGCAGGTAATGAACCTGGAGCGCCAGACCTCGCGACTGGAGGCCAAGCTTGAGGACCCAGAGGTGGAGCATGCCTCTGGTGTCATGAGAGCCACCAAGTCACCCAGAGGAGTTTTTGAGCAGTGACTGTGTGCCAAGCATGGTGTAATCCCTCTATTAGCTGCTTAAATCCTCACAACAACCCCAGGAAGTGAACTAGGAGGCGTTCCTGGACTGCTCAGTTACTAGCCCTCAGTTACTGAGTGGAAGAATCAGGATTTGAGCTTGAGTGATCTCTGCTTCCAGAGCTTCTGTTGAGAAATGTCATGTGCCTGCATTGCTGCCTTCTCCGGGCACCTGTCCTAGGAAGTTGTCACACATTTCCACCAATCTAAATGACAGCTCTTTGAAGCAGGCAATAATATTCCTGTTTTCAGATGTGAACATTGAGGCTTGGAGACTTGTCCTAAATAACACACACGGTGGCTGTAAAATCAAATCAGGATCTGACTCGAGTCTCTGATTCTGAAGACTGAGCTGTTGTCATAAGCACATGCTGTCTTTAGGGCCAGGTTGGATAGTGAAGGAGGCGAGGACAGGGTAGGTGTGAGAGAGGGAGGGTAGGCACAGAATTCATCACACTCACCAAGGGAGGGAGGCTGGTGAGTTGCATAAGGTTTGATCTCTAGAATTCTGACTCCATGCTCCTTCCGCTATCTGACCCTGCTGTATTGTCTCAGCCTCAGTTTCTTCATCTATAAATAGGCATAATACTGACTTCTGAGTGTGTGTTGAGGATGAAATGAGAGACTGCATGTGGCCGGGGTCTAACATGTAGTGAGCCATCCATAACAGAAAGCACTTGTCAAGTGCCAGGCTAGGCTGCCCTCTCCAGAGAGCCTCTCCTTCAGTCAGCATGGGCACAAGTGCATGTTTGAAGGGTTAATTTGGCATTTTCAAGTCATTCTACCCCTGGTGAGAAAGGACTAGCTTTTTCCATTTCTAGGGAGACTGTTGGAGATGACAACCTTTGGTTCTGGTGTCCCTTCCAGCTGCTGCTTATTGATGAAGTGAAAATAGGAAGCTACCACCTCTCAGTTCTCCTGCTGTGCAGGCAACTCCGGCCTGTCTCAGCCTGCAGACACTTTCTAGGTGTGTGTATTCTATATTGTGTGAGCCACAGGACAACAGGAGTCTGCCTTTGGGGTGGAAGTGCAGAGGAAGACCGTGGAAGGCTGTGTTCTCTCCACACCTTCCTCAGAAAACACAAAGGAGTGGCTGGGCTGTGGCCACTCAGTGCTGCCGGTAGCACAGAACTGCAGGCAGTCTTACATTGCCGCCTCACACTGAAGCAGTGCTTGTGGGGCCACCGAGGCCACCTAATTCAGAGGCTGCCAACAGTTTCTAGTCCGGGGCCTCAGTTCACCCATACAATGACTTTAGTGGGATCACCCCTATGGTTCTACTTTTCATAGCCTTTGAGTGACGTGGTCATTTCATTGGTTCCCATGGCATTCGAGCCTCTTTCTGGGCTTGTGCGGTTCTACACTTTCTGAGTTCTAACTGGAAGCAAAGGCCAGCCTCCCTCACAGGGGCACCGCCACTGAGGCTCTGCCAGTCAGCCCACCTGTGCCAGACTTCTGGAGCCAGCTGTGCACCACAGCCTGGGGGAGTTCCCTTTCTTTTTTTTTTATTTTTTAATTTATTTTTATTTTTTTAATTTTATTTTTATTTTTATTTATTTTTTTTGAGACGGAGTTTCGCTCTTGTTACCCAGGCTGGAGCGCAATGGCGCAATCTCGGCTCACGGCAACCTCCGCCTCCTGGGTTCAGGCAATTCTCCTGTCTCAGCCTCCTGAGTAGCTGGGATTACAAGCACGCGCCACCATGCCCAGCTAATTTTTTGTATTTTTTTTTAGTAGAGACGGGGTTTCACCATGTTGACCAGGATGGTCTCAATCTCTTGACCTCGTGATCCACCCGCCTCGGCCTCCCAAAGTGCTGGGATTACAGGCTTGAGCCACCGCGCCCGGCCCTAGTTCCCTTTCTAGGGCAGCAGCCCCCAGATGCTAGTATTTCAGTACCAAAGGTGTGTTTTCCAGATCACATCTGGAAACAGCATAAAAAATTATTTTACTGCTGGAGTGATGAGAGTTAGGCAAGATGACTCCTACTGTGTAGACTGGGAAACCGGTAAGAGAGCAAGGACAGGGAGTCACTGACAGGGTCACAATTAGCGTGCAGGCCTTCCGTTTTACAGTCTTTCCACTAGATTCTTTTTTTTTTTTTTTCTGATGAGTTTCCCAAATTTGATGAGTGCCAGGTGGGGTGCACATTTGGGAAGATGCCCCAACGTGGCTCTGAAGGCTCTTCCCGGGGCAGGCTGCGCTCAGCTGCCCACTCCTGGAATTCAAACCCCAGGCAAAGGCAGCCGGCCCCAGGCCAGAGAGGTCCTGGCTTCCCAACTCTGAGCTGTGCAGTCATCACCTTGGTGCAGGCTGGGCGACAGGGACAGCAAGATGACAAAGGCCAGGTCCCTGCAGCCTAGGCTGGGGCACAGCTTGGTTCTCAGCCTCACTCCCCGCTGTGCTGTGCTTTGCCTGTCAGATGGCGACGCTGGGCCTTGCTGGTGCGAGCGGCCCTTGGGGTCTTCTTGGAGTCCTAGGCCCTGCGGGGATGTTTCCTCTTGACCTTTTTGCGGCTGTGTGCATGCAGTGCTGCTGTGAGGGAGGAGATCCGCTGAGAGAGCAGGGGGTCTCTGGACTTCCTGGGCAAGGCTTTGGTGGGCATGGATGATGCCTCCTCCTCTGACCTGTCTCCAGCCCCTCCCTCAGGTGGGGTCAGCCCGAGCAGCTGAGCCCCGGAGAGGTCCAGGTCACTGATGGTGGTCACAGTGACTGTGTGGTTGGGGTGGTCGTACTGCACCGACTCCGTCTTTGCTGTCACCAGCCGGTCCAGCTCATCTGCCTCCTCCAGCGCCTCTTCTCTCTCTGCCAGCATCTTCAAGTATTCCTGGTGGCGCTCCTCCTGCAGCTTCCTCTGCTCCTCTTTCAGCCGCTGCTTAATCTCCTCAATGGCTGCCTTCTTCCGCTGGACCTTCCGCTTGTGGAAGCCTGTCAGGTACTCCCGCCTCTTCTCCTCGTCGAAGGTGAGAACTAGCCTGGGCCGCCGGTCGTCACCATCTCGCTTCTTCTTGTTGCGGCCCATAGTGCTGAGGCCACCACCTTCCTCTCACCGGAGACGCTTCCGGGTCTCCACTAGATTCTTAAGGTCCATTCATAGGTTTCAGGATACTTTCCGAAGAGGGTTCTAAAGCTATTCCTTTGGGCCTCCCTACAGTCCAAACAAATGAGCTGAAGGCCCTGACTGAGTTCAGGCAGGTGTCTACATGCCCCAGAGGGAATGCAGGGAAACTTAGAACAGTGAGCACTTCTTGGGCACTTGAACCAGACACTGTGCTAAAATTCTTTGTGTATGTCAATTAACTTACGTTTCTGCTCACTCCCTGAAGTGCCTACTATTACCATCTTCATCTTATAGACAAGGAACTCAGGCACAGAGAAACTAAGTCACCTTCTGGAAGTCACAAAGCTGGAGCCAGAATTCAAACTGAGACTTTGAGTCTGCAGCTCAGTCACCTTTACCTTGCGACATGAGGCACTGGGGAAGGGCACGGGGTAGAGGAGGACAGACTGTTTGTCTGGAACTCACACTGCATGCAGGTGGCCAGCCATGTGGGAAGGAGGGAAAATCCCCATCTGAGCCACAGTTCCAAACCAGAAGTAACTGAATGAGATGCTGTGAGGGATAAGGCCTGTCTTAGAGACATCCTCGCATCTAGGAGGGTGGGTGGCAGATGGACAGCCATGGAACCCAGCCCCGAACAGCTGCTGTTTGCAGGGGAGAACTGCCCTTGTGCCCCTTTGGTGAGTGTGTGGTGACAGTGGGATTAAGTGTACCTAACAACCTCAGTGACCATTGGGTGGAGGTGCACAGTGGGCCCTTCTGGCTGGCCCTTCCAGCAACTCTGAATCCTGGGTGCTTAGTGCTTGCTAATCTCCATCCCCATGGCAGCGGGATGTGTCACAACAATTACTGAGGCCATGGAATCTCCCACCTCTCGATGGCCAGGTGGTTCACCCAGCAAATGTCTCCTAATCTGAAGAGCTGAGAGAGCAAAAGATTTTATAAATTGTCAGAGAACCCCCTTTAACCTCCCTTTTAGAAAGGAAGATGTAAATCAGGACAATGGGCCTGGAGTTGGTAACTGAAGTGAGAGAGATCTCTCCTCTCTTCCTCTCAATTCTCCTTCTTTCATGTTTTCTACATCCCCCATGATTTGGGTCTGCTGATTTCATTTGTTAGGTCCGCCTTCTGTTTCCCGCCTCATTTCACAAAGGATTTGAAGCCTCTCTCAACAACACATTCAAAATAATATGACAATACAGTAAATGTTTGAGTCATTTGGAGCCAGAGGAATATAGGAATGATAAACTGAGGTGGATGGAACGCCAGGATTTCTTAGTGACCCCTTTTTAGAATACCGCATCTGGAACCATTCTAGCGGGACATATTTTCTTTTTTTATATTATATAAGCAGTTTATTTAATGCATATTTATTAAGCACCTATTTTATAAAAAGAAAAAATATCCCTCATTTTGACTTCTAAATTCTTTTGTCATGTTTTGGAGACTTCACTGTGGTGTCCTTTCAGAATCAGACCCTGGTTAATGTTTTGGGTTCTAGATAACACTGTAGAATCCACCCCGTATATCATTTTAGTCATTCATCTTGTTAATCCAGAGTTCATTTATTGTTTTGAAATGTTTCTCCAGAAACATTCTACAAAAGCATCTTAAAAATCACATTTTGTAATGCATGCCAGTGTTCCCATGGCGTTTTCTGGAACGTGGCTGAACCTGGAGCTGGGAGTTTGCTCCTCTACATTGTGAGGCAGGTCAGGGGAGCTCTGGGCAGCTGACATGGTTAGACATGAGGCCCCACTCCAGCCACTGACATAGGCTCTTCTGTTCAGTGAAGCCCTTAACACGCACTTACTGAACAGCTACCCAGCACTTTCCTAGGCCCTAGCTATGGCAAAGCCACAGATCCTGCCTTCGTAGAGTCACATTCTAGCCTAAGATATAGAACATAAACAAGAAAACTAATAAACGAGTGACATGATCTGACTTGTGCTTTAAAAATAACACTCTGTGAGGCGGGTGGATCACTTGAGTCAGGAGTTCGAGACCAGCCTAGCCAACATGATGAAACCTCGTCTCTACTAAAAATACAAAAAAGCCTAGCCAGGCACGGTGGCATGCACCTGTAAACCCAGCTACTCAGGAGGCTGAGGCAGGAGAATGTCTTGAACCCGGGAGATGGAGGTTTCAGTGAGCTGAGATCATGCCACTGTACTCCAGCCTGGGTGACAGAGGGAGACTGTCTTGGGGAAAAAAAAATCACTCTGGATGTTGGGGGCAAAATGGAGCTGTGGTTGGAGGGTAAGGTGGTAAAAACAGCCAATTAGGAGTCCAAGGCAAAGGGCCAGGCAAGAGTAGGCTGATGGCAGGAGAAATGGTGAGAAATGGTCAGATTGGGACATATTTTGTAGGTAGGGCCAACTGGACCAGTGGATGAGCTCAGCACAGGGGTAAGGAAAAGGAGTCAATGACTCCAAAGTCTGTTGGCCTGAACTGAGTACGTGGCTCCCTTAGGCAGGACTGGGTGAGAGGAAGAATTTTCTGGGGATGGGATGAAAACCAAGAGTTGCAACTTAGCCATGTTGGGTTGAGCTGTTTATTAGACATTCAATAAGAAGATCTATGTATTTCTAGTGATCAGTGACCACTTTGCTAAACCTGGCCTGGGTATGTGGGAGTAGAGAGGATAATTCCAGAGGAACAGGCTGCCAACCCCACAGCCTATGACCAGGGCAACCCTGGACTCCCCTGGAAGACCCCTGCCCATGGCAACTTGCTCTAGTTTTACAAATTCATTCATTCATTTGCCACATTCAACACACATATTTTCAATGTGCCTGCAAAGGCACAAGTTTATGGTATAATCTAAATGGATGGACAACATATTCTTTTCTGTTGCCCTATTTAGTACCCTAACTTTTGAAGAAACACAAAAGCCAGCTGAGTGAATGGATCTGTTTATAAAATACAGTTAGTAAGGCCCATGAGGCCTGGCTCCTATTCCTTGGCTGCTGGGAGGACACATGAACACGGAGCCCTTTTATTCGGTGCCTGTGTCCCTCAGGCCACTCTTTCCTGGCCACCGTCTCCTCACTGCTGTCCATTCTCCATTCTCCAAGTGTTTCCATGCCTCTGATCACAGCCCTGCTCAGGACCTTCAGGCACGCCCCAGCCTCCTCTGCAGGCCCTGCACTGCCTGACCTCAGCCTTGTTTCCAGTCCTTCCTCTCAGCCTGCCCCTGTACTGGCTCCACCCCATCCTGTCCACATCACTCAGGATCCTGAAACACAGCCGGGGTGTTTCTTTGCCTTCCCCACATCATTCACACCATGGCTTCTGCTCACTGGTTGCCACAGAAGACCTAGCCCAGCAGCTGCCACCCTCAGAGGACTTCCTTCCCTGACCCCTGCCTGTCCCCACACCCGGCACAATGACTGCCATGCTGCTCAGTGCTCCTGAGGTGCTGGTCCTTCAAGGAATCACAGGTCCACCCAGGAAGTACTGCTGCCCTGTGCCTGGGAGGCTGGACTTCGCCTCAGTCACAAGGCGCAGACAAGGCAGGTGGCCTGTGTTCTCACTGCCCAGCTGGCTCTGTGTGCAGTTAGGAGCCAACTCACTGTGCGCTCCTAGAGGCTGAGACAGGGTCGACAGTCTAAAGCTGTGCTTTTCACCAGGTCCAGGGTGGGGTTACTGCAAAGGCCTTTCCTGGAACTTGCTAGAGATGGAGACTTTCAGAGCCCACCCAGGGCCCACTGAATCAGCACCTGCATTTTCACAAGGGTCCCTGGGGATGCACGTAAACAGCCGAGGATGAGAAGGGCTGGTAAGAGAAGGGCTAGTCACCTCCCGGGAGGACTTAATAAAGGACAGCAAAGTGAATCCAACAGTGGCCAACCATTCCAGGCCAAGTAAGAGATTAGGAATTTGAAAAGGTGTATTGTGCCAGTCAGGCTCTCGGTTACAGGAAACAGAAACCACCCTGGCTATTACAGGCTGAAAAGGATTTGTTGCTGGACCATTAGGTGTTTACATATCCTTGGAGGGGCCCAGAGTGTCCCTGCAGATGCCCCAGGTTGCTGCTGCCTTGGTCCCCATCAGGGAGGCAGGGCTTCTGGAGGGATTGTGGGGGTGGGTGACCTTCAGCTCCTTGACCCCAATGGAGAGGCTGTCATGGCCACTGTCACAGCCACCCCTCAGCAGCCACAAAGCTGCTGTGGAAAAATCCACCATCTCCCCAACCAAAGGGTGGGGAGCAAGCAAATGCTTTCCTAAAAAGTCAAAAAACCCAAAACAACCAAGGGCAGGGGGTGGGGGTGGGGCACGAGGATGGTCTCTGCTGCTCTTCTTCCAATTCTTGTGCGGGAACAACTAGTGAGAGATCATATACAGTCACAGCTGCTCTCCCCTGCTTGGAAGTCAAGCGATGGGTGGCTGGCTGGCTTGTAGAGTGTGGAACCAATCACAAGCACAGGGTGGTGTCTCCTGCTTTGGCTGGAGGTGTGCTGAGCTGCAGAAAACCTGTGAGCCTACGCCATGCCACCTCTAAAGTAGACTTTAATGAGAGAGTTCTTGGGAGCATAGCATTGATGGTGCCTCATGTGACTTGGCTAGGGCATAACCATGCAGGTCGAAAATGGAGCTTGCTGCTTCCAGGAGAAGCCTAGAAATGGAAGGCTGGAGGAGCAGCCTGTATAGCAGGGCAAAGAGAGAGGGGCAATGGCTGGGTAAGTTATGCTGCTGGAAACTGGTGGCCCCCGAGGCCCCTGCGGCTCAGTGGGCACTGTGAAGGGAGCTGGGCTTGAGCCAACATTGCTGGTACCCCTCTCACTTAATGTGGCTCAGAGGTTCCCACAGTAGGAGGCTGGATAGGGTGGGCCACAGGGTGGGAGCTGAGACAGGTGAGGAGCGGCAGCGCAGAGTGCTCCGGCTTGTCAGGGAACGGGCTGTGTTTGGGTTCTCCAGGAAGTTGACTTGGAGACAGTTCTGTGTTGGAGATTAGGGGAGTACCCCAGGATCAATGCCTGGAGGAGGAAGCAGGATCAGGCA